TGGCGCCGTCTTATTTATTATTTATTCACGAACTCCAGTTTGCATTGCGAACGTGAACACATTGTAAATAGATGGATTTCATCAAGTGTATGTTTTTGTTTATGATACTGTCAGCCTTTATCATGTCCCCATTTTTATATTAATAAAAACATCCCTTTTAAATCAGTGACAGGTGGAAGGCACATGCACTTTATCATGGTAAAACTTCTAACTGGTTTATCCAGGTACATTATTCACTTGATTTTCTTCTTCTTAGATCATTTCATAAGTAGTTTTGGAATCATCGTGGTTAAGATGTACACCAAAATGAAGTCTATTTCTCTCTGCGAATAAACTATTAGACTACATCGGTATTTCTCATGCTGCATAAACGCGGTTGATATTTAACCGCTTGTGAAGTTTCCTGACCTTAAGCACTTGACCAGGGTAGTTGCCAAGGTGCCGAGGAATTGGAACTACCTGAAAGGTCATTCAGGGGTCACAAAAAAAGCCGACCTCAAAAGAAAATGCCAGTTAACATTCATCCCGCTGTTAAAGAAAACTTGTTTTGCTAATATTCCAAGAAATAATACTTACATTGCTGATGAAAGAGTCAAACAACACTTTGAAGTACCGTAAGTTTAGACTGTTAGTTTCAAAAGGTTGTGAATGTTTTGGATCGTTCTGTCACTTTATGCAGTTCAAAAAAGACTCTCCAAATAAAAAATGCAACAATTTGTTTTCAGATCTTGAAGCATAAAAGTCCCCAAAAGTCTTGAGACGTTTGCGGCACACCACAATTGGAAAGAGCAATCCAGAAATCAGGGACATGTAACATTCCCTAAGAGTGAGTCACAACCTGCAATTGTTCCTACCCTGATATACGGTGTAGACGGACATGGAATACAGATAACAGACAAAATTGGCTGGACTAAAACAGTGAAGTCCATAGGAAAACTATATCTGAGTGTTTTTGTGAGACATACTGTATACACCATATATGCATTTCTTTGAAAGCACCGGAGCTCTGTGCTGGGGTCCACAGGTCAGCACAGTTTGCTTGTGGCAGGGGGCCCTACGCCCCCTATCTTAAAGACACTTCAGCCACTCTACAACCAGTTATCATCCAGGCCGGGCGTCAGGCAAGACCAGGGTTTCATTTTCCAATTAGAATGATCGCATTTCCTTCCAAATACATTAGAGTAACAAAAAGAGCACCGATTGTTTTCCAACTGCACGGTGGTCTTACAAGACTCTGTGGGCCCTAAATACTTAGACACATACAGTACATCTCCATTGTAACCTATGAGTACTTAAGCATCTAAAGTTTGAATATAGAGCCCTACTATTTTCTGTTGTATTTTCAAATTACAAACATGTATTTACAATAGGCAAAACAGGAATTACACCTATATCAGAAATTAGAAAACCTAGCCTGCAAAGACACCCTTTTTCTTAAGACATAGAGGTTTATTATTCATGGTCTGCCAAGATTTGGATTTCTTCTTCTTATTCTTTCATTTTTGCTGTACCATTACTTTCAATACTGTCCATCTAATTTAATGATTATTTTAACTTAGAAGAAATGTTACACTGTTAATCTTTCAAAGGTTTTGAAAGCTCATTTTCTGGGTTCTGATACCCAGCAGGGACACCTTTTCTGGTTAAGCAACACATGCAATTCATGCTGCAATTATCACGCAATTAAATATGGCTGTTGCCAGTGCAGATCCCCAGTGGATGAGTAACTCCGGGCATTTTTTAACAACAGCATCACAAAGGCTGCTACAGAGCTCTAAGATGATCTCAGATCATGTGGCCTTAAATAAACTGCTAAGCCGGTTTTCTCCTTCCTACAGGTCTGCTTACAGCATATTACAGAGCCCTCGGAGAAAGTCACTAACGTGCAAACAACTTGGAAGAGTAATCATACAGTAAACAGCTCAGTTAACAGGAATCTCTATCCATTTCTCAGCACTTAGCTCTGCATTTCTCGTCTGAATTGCTTGAGCAGCTCCTGTGGGCCTCCACAGACAGCGCAGCAGATGCCAGAAATCCCTGGCAGGTTTGGTTTCTGTAGTCCTTACAACTGTTTTAATAACTCTGTGTAACAATAACAGATACGCAGATTTAATACTGTAGCTGAAACATTAAGAAATGTTTCCATATACTTTGACATGACACATTTAGCTGTATAGATCACGACAGCTACAGCACGAGCTGAAACAGCTGGTGAAAGAAGTGGGAAACATCTGTAACTGGGCTGGAAAAGCAAACTTTCCCCACTCAAGGTCAGTACACAGACAGGCTTGGTGCTCGAACTTTCTTAAGAAAAAACGACCCTGTTTAGCAGGATGTAACGCAACAGCTCAAACTCTCGAGAGCCACAGACTCCTCCAGAAAGGCCCAGCTGAGCGCAGCTGGGCGCACGAGGAGGAGAAGGACATGCCTTTCGGCTCACGGCCATCAACCCCTCGTTTTTGCTGACTCACGTCCTGCTTAAGGAGGCATCCTGCACAGTTGTTGTTTATTTGCTTGGCAAATGCCCTAACCCCGAGTGACTTACAAAACATTCAACAATACGTAAAGTAAACACAAAAAAGAAATCATTCAAGCATACCCGAGAAATAATGGGACTAGTGACTGACCTCCAGTGAGGGGAGGAGGACCCAGAGCTCCTACAGTATTTAAAGAGCGTACAGGCCACTTCAAACACACTCCCTGCAATGGGAGGAAAACAGGGGAACATTTTGTGCTACATTAATGGGAATGAAGGCCTATCCATTTTTATCATGGTTCAATGGTTTAAAACTGGCAGGTCAAAGTCCATGTTCTGTTAAGGCGTTAAGGGAGTTTTTTTTTATTCTAGGGCACTTCACACAAACACTCTGCAGACCCTCACTCTCACTGCTCAGACACTCTCATCGCGCAAACAGCCACTCTTGCTCCCCAGACACTCACTCCCACTGCCAACGTCATGCACATTGGAATTTCCAAGACAAAGAATGAAGGTCCAGCTATCCTTTTACATATCATTTGGCTACTGTTTTTAATTTACCATAAAGCCTAAAACACCATCAAACAGATTTTCAGTAAACTGAGTCAGGGCCCCAATGGCTAATGCCATAACAGCAAAGCCAAAGCAAATACAAGTAGCTGTATTTACAGTTTAGATTTCATTTGTTAGAAAGCTGGTCATTGTGTATTGAAAGTTCTTCTCATAAGGGAAATAAATCCAATAACATTGTTTTTATATTTAATACAAGACTGGTCAAATGGTCATATCTTATCTTATTTTGAGTCTTCTCCACCAGGCTGTGTCAGTGAACTTCAGCTATCCCTACAGGTTATAGAACTGTCTGGAATATAGTTGGATCTTTGAACTGCAAATTTCAATGGCAAATTGCTTACTTTTCAACGTAATTGGAAAACTGAATGCATTTTTGTTAACTGGTTAGTACACACTGTGTTAAACCTTATTTAAACTTGAATGAAGTGTTCAAATAAAGTCAAAATGGCATTATTGTACCTACTGATTCACAATAAAGATCTAGAGGACTTTTAACCGCAGTGGGCTACACATTTGCATCAAATTACTTATTAATTGCCTCTCCTAGAACCAGATTCCCAGACAAATCAAAGACTCGCACTTAGAGGACATGTCTCCTCTCTATCAACACTGTGAGAACCAGGGGAATCTCAGGCTGATGAGAAGGCTACATAAGCAGGGCTATATAATTCTCACAGAGGCGACTTTCATTATATTTTTGCTTTTACTAAAACCTACCTCTCGACTGCGTAACTGGAAATTTTTACCTTCATGGTAACAGTTATAGGTTTTCAACAGGGACAGGAGTTCTGATCTGGAACAAACAAAAGCAGAACAGTTTTACTGCACCTCCAGGTACAACAGATACAAAGCATAAGGAGGCCAGCATGTGCAGATAAGGAGTGCCAATTGGAAACGAAGGAATGAGAAACACAGCTCAGAAAGAAGTCAGGTTAGGTGCTGATCGACTGCATTAACTGTTTATGGGAATTACCACAAGACATGGAAGGTAAAGACCAGTTTGCTGACACTAGTAAAACAGTCTGGCAATACTTACTTGGAAATCGTCTTATCTTCTTTGACTTTCACAAAGGATGGCGGACGGAGGGCCATGGTTTTCAAAGGGTAGTTATCTTTAAAGGGAGATCTATAAGAAAGGAAACAGAATAAGCCATGATGTCTAGACTGCAGTTTTAGGAGTGACGGACAAACAATGGGAGGAAACACAAGGAAACACTGACACGAGATCAATACACCTATGGTAAAGGTCAATCACTGCAGTGCCTGTACACAGCCACCTTTCAAAGGTGCAGATTGCAGTAGTTTCATCTCGGGGAACCCGTGTTAATGGCCATAGAGTGTTTTACCAAGATTAATTGAAATAATGAGTAGCAGAAGTACCCTCTCTCTTCATATCAGACACTTAATCATAATGGAATTTACAAAGGTCTTTACCATTTTTACAATCAGGACCCGCCGACAGAATGAAGAATGAATATTGTGTTGCCTCCCATAGCTCAGAGAAACGGTAAAATGTGGCATCAAGGATTACAAGAAATCATGCATCCATGGTTTGACATGCATCCAGAAGCTAAAGAGGGGCCTGCCAAGACAGGCCGGGGAGGGGCTTTCAGTGAGAGGAAGAAAAGGTCATGTGACACTGCCAGAGTTCGTCTATCATTATTAAAATTACAATAGCTAAATATTTACCTTTTAAAGACATATGCTTTTAACTGCCAGCAAAGCTAATGCTTTGAAAACAACTTTGTCAAATTATCAAGGAGCAGGCTGGACAGGATCTAGAAGTGTCTTTTTAGTTAATCACATCACCACAACAACAAACCCTTCAAATCCACTGCAGATGAAAAAAGGTGATTTTTGCTAGTAATGTGCAACTCCAAGAGTTTTTACACTTCAAAAGCGTTTTTTCTTAGACAGCAGTGACATTCGTGCTCAGATTATGGAACACAGTCGAATTTTCAGTCTGAGAAAACGAAACCTTATAAAAAGTCCATGAGCAGAGACTGCTTTTTTTTTTCCATAACAAGTAACATCTGGCTCAGGGCAAAATATGGGAAATGAGAAACAATGAGGGGATGTGCATTACTGGGCAATCCTGAAACTGTAAAAGAATAATTTCACACCTGCTGCAGTCCTGAATGTCATTGTACTGTAGGTAAACACTGTTTGCATGTGATAACAGAAGGTTTTAAGAGTTCTGAGCAACAGTGCAGAAATTATTGTTTTTTTTAAATATCAGGGAGGAGTTAAGCCCCTTCTGGTGTTAAGAAAGGGGCTACAGTGGGTATAGAAAGTCACAACCCCCTTTCAAAATGTTCCCCTTTTGTTGCCTTAAAGCCCAAAAAGAAGACAAATAAAATCAGAATGTTTTAGAATTTTATTTTCACTTGGCTAATGTGGGTTACTGTGTGCAAATAAAAATGGAACAAGCCTAATTTAATTTGTTTTTTTTTTCCAAAGTGTCATACAACGAAAGGTACAAATTTTGATTGGGGGAGGTGACTTTATATACCCACTGAACATGTGGTTAAAGATGACAGGTGCCTATGAAAACCCAGAGAGTGCCCTGCAGGTGAAGACAAGCTTGAATTTACACAAGCCTTCCACACTGTGTTTCTTCCGAAGAAACACCACACAACAGCATGCGCACAAAACAAGCACACAACTTCACGCGAACAAGAATTTAAAAAGTTTTTAAAAAAAAAATCAATGAGTTGACAGAACAAAAAAATTGTGCTTACATCGTTCTCATTCTTCCGTTCTTAGGGAGTTTTGGGCTTGGATATTGCCTGTGGAAATTCCACTTGGTTGCTGTGCAGCTGTGGGAGGGAGCCATGTCATGTGACTGCTGGGAAAACCCCGACTGCAGATATAAAAGTTACCACATTCGTGCAGCAGCACTGCTCTCTAACTGCTCAGGCTTCGCAGCACAAGTCACAATGACGATGCCCAGTTTTATTCTTCTATCTGTAATCGGCATCATTCTCTTTGAAGGTAAGGGAAAATCCTTTCTGAATTCTACCAATCCAATATTATAACATGGCTTTTTTCTGTGATGTACAATTTTGAGTACAAGATTTCTTACAAGTATTGCTAAAAACATGACAAAGTGGAATACGTTAATGTTAGTATTCAGGAAGATACTATCAACAGCACTTTACTTTAAGGGAGAGAGCATGTTATATTTTCAATGCACAGATCATTTTGTATGAGTAGCCATTGGATGGCGAATGTAGTTTTTGTATGAAATAACTTAGGATGTAACAGGGACAGTCCTGGGAGGGTAAACTGATTTTTTCTCATTCTTCTTTTCTCAAAGCACACGGGGGAGGATGCCAGTTCGTCCCAGTGAGATGCATGTGTCTTAAAAACAACAAGTTTGTGAGAAAACCCATCTCAGACTTTTCTATAACAGAAAAGACATCATACTGCAAAAATGTGGAAATCATGTAAGTATGAACCGTTTCAAGATATTGTAGCCAGATTGTGTTATTTCAGTATTCTCTTTGGTGAAAGGCCCAACAAATATACTAACAATATAATATAAAAATGTGCTGTCTTAATCAGCACTACCCCTAAATGCAGTCAGTATATGTTGAAATCCAAGCAGTACCACAATGTCATACTCTTAATATTTCAACTAAGCGTCTACAGACTGTTACAGCATGGATTAGTGACGAGCATCAGTTCTATTTCTTTGTCGTTGGATTATTAATTTCTGCTACATGCAGTTCTCCAAAATGAAACTTGCAGAGCAAGGTATGAAAATAGACATTTTCTTTTAAAAGTCCTTTTTCTTGGTTTCAGACTGACTTTGCAAGAAGACAACATGAAGGTCTGTTTAAGTCCTGATGGGGATCAAGGAAAGAGGCTGGTCAGCTGCTGGAACAGGTACGAGGGTCTCGCCCTCTCATCAAACGCAAACCTTTCCATCTATGTTATGTTTGTAGAATACGCAAAGAAATGTTACCTGAGCCCTTAAGCACACTCATAGAAAAAGTGCAGGGAACTTAAATAATGCAACAGAATTACATCTACTATTTGAAATCCCACCTTCTATCCAAAAAACAGAATAGAAAAGGACACTGAAAACAATCAACCGGATTTATATCAGCACTTCTATGTCAACTGCAAAGACACCTGCTTCCGAGAGAAACCTGTACATTCAGTGTCAGTAATTCTCCTCAGCACTTCCATTCTGGTTAGATTAACTACATGCTGTTTCGAGACGCCTTAGACTAGGACTTTAGGATGACTTTAACCTACAGTATGCTACTGTTCACATTTCATACAATCCGGCTTTTACGTTCAAAGAACAAAATGTCTGTTTAAAAGTGACTTCAATTTTTTGTTTAACTTGGAGATGCTGGATATTGCTCCTGCTTTTAATGTAACATTATTAACATACTGGCATTTTTTTTCATTTTAGAATAAACAAGGACGACAGCAAAAAGGAAAAATGCTTCCGAAGGAACAAGCCAAAGACACAGAGGACCCAGGAAAAGCCTACAGAGATTCCAGTGGAGGAGACGTCTTGAGCGCTCAGCGGTCTTGAGACTACAGAGACCCATCTTGAGAGAGCGTATCAGTCAGAGGAAAAGAATGTCCGGGGAAAATCGAACTGCTCTGCAGGAGTTCATAAGCCTCTTGGATTATTTACTTTAGAAAAAATATGTTAAAGGCCTTCTGTCTCTGCCTAACCAGAAACAGATTGTGCTTAACCTCTCTTACTGGTTCTGCTGAAGGAGAAATCTCCATCAGGGAAAAAGAACTCTTCAAACCCCAAAGCCCAGAACGTGTCAGAAGTGAAGGCAAAGGTCGTGTTCCTTCAGCAGCTTTGCAGCATGTAAGGTCGAAACACAAAATGTCAAACGTACAGTGAACAAAGCAAGAGCAGAACTCGTGTTTGGGGGGGAAAGAACACAACGGTTTTATGAACAGCAATCAGCGTGGCAGTGCTGCTCCAGTGTTCTTCATTGAGAGCAACAGGAAAGTGGCACCTGTCTGAACCTGACCCACTGTGAAGGGTGCCAAGAAGGGTTTATCTCTAGACTCTGGGAGTGGAAGAGGTGGCTTGTGCACTGATCCAGCCAATCGAGCATCTCATTTTACAAGTCTCTGTGGAGCAATTATTTATTGTTAAGGATCTGTTGGATGTTTTTTGGTTTGTTTTGTAATTTAATAAAAAAAAATATGTATTATTTTATTATAAAATAAATGTTTAAAACCTGGGATTTAATGTTGTTGCACATGTTTAGACCAGATCAAGGCTTTGCTTTCCAAAGGGAAAAGCTTTGCTCATTTTCTTATTAAAGAGTGAAAACCAACATGCAAATTTGTTTGGGCTGCAAATGTTCCCATGTACAGTGGATATAAAAAGTCTACACACCCTTATGGAAATTGCAGGTTTTTGTGATGTAAAGCCAGAAATCAAGATAAATCATGTCAGACATTTTTCCATCTTTAATGTGACCTTGCAAACAACAAAAGTCAAGAGCAAAACAAATAGATAATTATTAGGAAAAATAATTGAAATTAAAAAACCTACAACACTCTGATTAACTATACTATAAACTTAACTATAAAATGGTTCTTTCCCATGCCCGCACTTGTCAATTCACCTCATTTGGGGAGGACTTGGTGACAAACCACCAGATCGCCAGGTGGCCTGATGAAAATGATGGTCAGAACAATGCCAGAGAGCTGACTGCAACTGCAGGGGAGCAGTGTGATAGGACGAGTCTACAGGTCTGATCATCATAGTAATAATTAGTCATTCAGCAGACACTTTCATCCCCCAGTGACTAGCGGAGGTAAGAAATGTAAGATTTCCACTGACAGCAGTACCACAGCTTAAGAGTTGTAATTAAAGAGCACAATGTGGCTCAGTGACTCACTCAGGGTGATTCGCAGTCAGTCATCAGCAGAGTCACGGAGAACGAACCCCCAAACCTCCCTTTATGACAACCACTGCACACCCATCTACTTAGGCGAGCAGACCAGGCCTTCAGCTGCCGAGGAAAAAAACCTCAATACATTTCCCCTAATTATATTCTAGTGCTGCCGTTAATCAACACAAGCACATGCCCCCATTAGACCTGAGGAACCTCCTCTTCGGAGAGAAATGGGGCTGAACAAAAGGGAAAAGAAGAGCTCGGTGAAGTTCTCACTAAGCGACTTCTGCCTCGATAACAAAATAAATGTTTGTTTTCTACAAATGCTTCACCGAGATTAGAAAGGAGCAAATAAGCCCCTGCAATCTGCTTAATGTATTTAGAAGACACTCTTATCCAAAGCAATTTGAAACGCGTTTATGCAGCTGGGTGGTTTTCTGGCGCAGGCTGCAGGAAGAGCCTCGCTCAAAGGTACGAGAGCAGGGCCGCACCCAGGATTTGTACCCACGACTGACCTGTGAAGAGACCCAGAACCCTCAGCACCGCTCCACACTGCTGCTTTTGTTTGAGCAGGACAGGGTGACTTACTGTAAACCATGTGATAAGGAAAGTGCTTGATTTGGGCAATCAGGAAGTCGGGAATTACAGATCAGCAAGGATCTGCTCAGAAAGGCATTCAGCTGTGCTGCAGGAGAAGTATCCAAAATGTTTTTCAAAGTCACAACTTTAAACATGCTTGCTTTCTTGTGCTGCGGACGCTTAACTGGTAAGAAAGACAGCCAGTGCTTTTGTCGGTGAACAAAAGGACATTTAGCCTGCTCGTGTAGACGGAACGTGTTTTTTCTCTTGCGTCTTCGCAGATCAAAAGGCAGAAGCAACGTCTCTCCGGGAGAGGTGCGAATGTATCAGGACCATTGAGTCTTTCCCTCTGAAAAAGATGTCTAACTTCACCATTGCTGAGAAATCCTCCCAGTGCAAGAATGTCCAGATCATGTAAGTACCACACTTCCATTTACACTGCAACGGATTTAAGAGGGATATGTAAAAGAAAAGTCTGTTGTTTGCTGTTGGAGTGAGAAAACGGTATTTAATTAACAAAGTTGCCCCTTCTATAAACAGTATTGGGGGTTAGAACAAAGCCATTCTGATCAGAGCAATGCATTATACAGAAAATGTGCATGATCTCAGGTTAAGTCAGACCAATGCAAATAAGCAGAAATTGTGCAACTTCACAGAGACAGGATTTGCTATCACAGACACACAACTTTGTACATATTATGGAACTGCTAAATAATTTGTGGCTAATGATTGAAAATTGAAACTGTTCTCATGAGTAATTTGACAAAAGTAATGCATTTGATACCTCTGAAATCTAGATAAAGCAAGTTGTATATCAGGGAACAGAGACAAAATGCATGTTTATAGTATTTATTCCCCCCAAGAACATGCTTTAACCTTTTCTGAACAGTCAAATTTAAGATCAATAAAAAGATCCATCAATAAAATATAACTATCATCTGTGCATCTCAGCACAAACTCTACTCAATGTAAAAATGAATTCAGTTAACAATTACAAAGCACATGTGCGCTTTGAGAAAATAAACTCTACGCCCTGTGATCTGGCGCACCTGATACATATCCACTGTGCTGTTCGTGTTCTGACTTGTAAGTGGACTTCAGGCATGGGAAGGATTTATTTGTTAAAACTTGTTAGTTCAGGTCATCTGATAAATACAATATTCATGAAAGGCAAGTTTGACTAATTTCTATGTAACTGCTTTTCTTAAGTGACTTTATAATAGCAAATTCAGTGTTTTGCATGAATGAATGTTCCTATCAAACCACTGACTTCTGATTTACTGTATCTTAGGTCTTGTGAACAAGCTAGATCATTGATACAGATTACTGAAATTCTCTGAGTAACAATACCATCAACAGCTATTCATCGTTTCATAATATTCCATATTCAGAACAATAATAGTTGTTCAGACAGCCTTTGCAGATGCTATCCAGAGACTGCAGAATGAAAGACTGTATTCTTCTGCTGTAAAAACGGCCTCGTATTTTCATTGGAGCTGTGCCATAATTTGCCAGAACACCAACTCGCAGCTGGCTGGATCAGCTGCTCCAGAGTGTCAGAGACAGGATAAGGTGACTACGAGGGTTTAGAAATACCAATCTGTGTCACTCAGCCTTATTTCCCAGCAAGTACTGAGCTGTTTTTCCAATGTTTCGCCTCTAAGAGCAAAGACTCCTTCTCCAGGGTCTGAGGGAACAGATTCAATGCTGCATTGAGAAAGGTCACACTCAAGAGCTGGATGAAGTGCTTCAGCAGTCTGAGAAAGATGTATTGCTCAGTGCAGCAGCACCTGGGATGTAAACCTACAAAATCCTGCCATTATCACAACCACCGGACACTTGTCTGTACATCGTGCTTCTTGGGTGTAGAGGTGACTGGTCAGAATTCCTGAGCCCGCTCCCAGTCACCCCAAAAAAGTTTTTTTCTGGACAGATTCAATGCACTGTTAATTTTACCTAAAGCATTAACTTAGCCCATGTGTTAAAAGGAGTGAAATACACTTCTTTCATACCAGGTGCACAACTTAAAAAGTGTTTTTCTCTTCTGAAGACTCCATCTGAAAAACAACAGCGATGTTTGCCTCAACCCAGATTCAACACAGGGACGGAGACTGCACAAATGCTGGAAGAAGTAAGTTACTGTATGCCCCTCAAGACACAAAAAGTCATGCCACACAAAGCCAAATCTAAATCACATAATAAAAAAGTAAAATATATTTATAGCATGCATGATGATACAAGTGCTTTAATTGAAAGAATATGCATCTTGGGAAAATACAAATGATTCTGCTGAAATGTGAAACAAAATACATAAGATATTTTAATTTACAACAACTGCCTGAAGAATATTTTCTTTCACTTTCTAGAAGGTGGAATCAGATGTCCCGTACTGGTAGAAAATATTAACACAGTGCCATCTAGTGGCTAAACATCTCCCTGGTTACACATTCAAAGAAAGGTCCGGTTAAATGAAATAAACGTCTATTCCAAACTGAGCTCCCTTCTTAATGATGGAGATTTTTTTTCTGCTTGTCCGTTTTACAATGACCTTCTCTGTTTGAACTAGGTGACGTTATGTGATGACGAGAAAAGTATTTGTTTAAGAAAAGACAATTAAATTAATAAATCTCAAAACAGCAAATTCTGACTAATGCATAATGAAAGAAGCTATGATAAACCACAGGAAATTCAGGTGTGTTGTTCTTCATTATATGACCAGTTTAACCTGCAAGAATCTTAGGTCCTTTTCCAAATGATCCAAATGCAGGTCTATTGGTTCGTACAAACGGATGGCAAAGATACTGTAGCTTGTAGCGGCAGCACTCAGGGGTACCCAGTGATGGCCACCGGTTCACCTCTGTCACACCTGTCTTGATGTGTTTGATGTTTGCAGAAACGGGAAAAGCACCACAAGACACAACCGGTGCCTTCGGCTGAGGGCCAGAAAAGGCCGGAAGGGAAAGAAAGAGCAGTGAAGGAGAAGGACTCTTCACAACCCATTGGCACAGCTCCCTGAGGACATAACGCGACATCAAGCTCATATGTACCTGCTACCATTTCAGAGAACACATGTATTACACTAAATGCTTCCTCTATTTTTGTATCTCATTTGTTATATTAAAACAAATAAATGCGACACGCTTAATGTACATTGTTTTTTAGAAAACAACCCTGAGAGGAAGCAGTCAATGTCTTCAACACACATGAGTCACATATCAATGTTCTTCTCTTGGCAATTATGGGAGCTGATTGGTTCTCAAACCTGAATTACTTCAGCTCCCCCCAAAGAGATGAAATGTGCATTTCAAAATCCTTTATGTCAGGAAATTAATGACTTATTCCACTCTTCTCCTACGACACAGGACACAGACTTTGATTTGGGAAAAATTCTAAAATCAGTCACAGCAGTCCTTTCTGACAGTACACGGCACCCTCCATGGAGAAGCATCCAGAGGTCAAGGAGACACAGCGAGCGACTATAGGCTTCTGGGTGCTTTTTTGTTATGTCTTGCAAAACGTTAATTACTGACGGGCAACTGCCAATCCCTGGTGAGCAGGTGCAGGTGGCTCTGTGGCTAAGGATCTGCGCCTATGACAGGAAGGTTGCCAGTTCAAATCCTGCTCCGTTGGGCCCCTGAGCAAGGCCCTTAACCCCAACTGGTCCAGGGGTTCTGTACAATGGCTGACCCTGCGCTCTGACCCCCAGCTTCTCTCCCTGTCTGTGTGTCTCATGGAGAGCAAGCTGAGGTATGTGAAAAGACGAATTCTTAATGCAAGAAATTGTATAGGGCTAATAAAGTGATGTTATAGGAGACTTCCAAGCTCTGAGATGGACACTCCTGGGGTGATCGCACAGAAAGACAGTGGTGCTGTCCCAGCGACATCGCCAGCTGGCCTTCCGATCTTTGACAAGCAACCAGACAGGCACCAGCAGAAGTTGTTGCTTCCCACAATGCTTTGCAGTATTCCGAACACTACACCTCGGGCACGCTCACCGTCCCAGAACACAGCACACAGCCGGAACAGCCAGACTTTGACAACAGCGAGCGAGGAGGAGAGACAGGAGCTGGAAGCTTTAGTGCTTTAACAGCAGCGAACTCCTCAGGAAGCTGAAACTGTTCTCCCTGGCAGTGGTGTGCCAGGAGAAGATCAGCAAGGAGAAGGTGCCATGAGTAATGCATGTTTGGCAATGTAGAGGGCAGAACATCTCTGATAAGACGTGAGGAAGCCTTAAGCAGCGACACTCTGTCCCGCCACCCCTGCACAAAGGCCAGCACAGACTGAGGGTCCCTCTGGGACGTTTCCACCTGTTTCGTCAAATCCTGACTCCAATCCAATTATGCTGTCCCAACAGCTGTGGTCCTCGTTGAATACACTCTATGGATTCAGCAATCCATCCATCTTCTAACTGCTTGATCTAATCCAAGGTCATAAGGGAGCCAGAGCCTATCCCAGCATGCAACAGGCGGGATACACCCTGAACAGGACACCAGTTTATCACAGGGCACTCACAGACAGCACACACTCACACCAGGGCCAGTTTTCCCCACCAGTATGCCCTTGTACTGTGGTGGGAAATTGGAGCACTTGGCAAAAACACATGCCAACACAGGGAGAACATACAAACTGTAATAGCACCCCAGGAGTTGAACCCAGGGTCGCAGCACAGCAAGGCAGCAGTGGTCACCACTGCTCCACAGTACGGCCCACAGATACACTCGCCCCTCGATACTTCCAGTGAGCATTGTTTTTCTACATCCATTCTACCACTGACACCTCAATCTGAATCCATTCTAGTGGTGAGGTGCCAGCGCCTGACTTTCTGGTCCAGAGGTAACTGGAAACCGAGCATCCCGCTGCTTTTTAAAACTCAAGTGAGGATGGTTGAGTTTAAACAAGCACTGACATTGAGAAGTGAAGAGTGCTCTAATCCCAGCCGCAGTGTGTTCATGATTTCATTATTAACACGTGTAGTATTGAGCACAATGCCCCCGACGCATTTGCCACATATAACCGTCGCTTCAAAACTCAATTTTTCGTCACAAGCGTCAGTTTCTACAATAACACCGTAGCTGGAAGACGCAGAAACACCCCACTTTACAGAGGAGGATTTCCTTTCAGCCTGCTGCAAAGGAACCGGGCTTAGGAAAGGGAAACGGAGAGGTCGACTGAGGCTTGGGCCGTACACCACTCAAGAGGAAGTGCTCTCCCTTCAATTACTTCATCAGATTCAGGCTCGGATTTGTTTCCCATCTTGTCGAATACGTTACTCATTTACACAACCACCCCCAAAAAGCCAAGACTCTAATAGTGATTTTGACCAAAGCACACGGAATGCACGTTAAATAAAACTAGTGTCTCTGCCTCTAAACTCTTGACTGAATCAATTAAACACATCCTGCAGTTAAGGCAGAAGACATCCCGTATTTATACCAGAGAAAGGAAACGACAAGCACATACTGTATCTCCCATAAGCGAACACCAGGATATGATATGCCGCAAAGATGTTTACCTGGCAAACTGAAAAACCCGTCACACAAAACTCTCCCAAATGAAATTACTCTTTGTGGAGCAAATTAGATATCTGTCCCGAACATATGTATAAAGAAATAAGTTATTTTTTTTTATATTGCACACACATCTACCAACAACAGATCGTGCCACTACTGTATTCTCTTACGCAGCTGTATCTGTTTTAATCTAATCACCAAAGTTTTCTCTTGTTCGCTAAAATGCAAAAAAATATTTATTTGCAATACAAAAGAAACACATCCAAACAGATATTCTTACCATTACTTTAAAAGCCTCTCACTGTACCAACGGTAGTTCCGTCCAATCCTTCTCGCTATACACCAGTTACTTGCTACCCACAGCTTCTCCTCAGAAGGGAAACATCGTCCACGCCGACAGCGAGAAAGACAGCCCCCTCAACCAATCAGGGGTTGCAGCGGTCGACACAAAACCAATCAGAGCAAACGGGGGAGGGGCATAGGGTTTCCAGAGGACAAGAAGAGCTACACGCTGACACATTATTGCCAAGATGGAAATCTGGCTAGCTAGCAATTACTTGCCCATTTCGTGAATGCTTGTTTGGCTCAAGCTCTTTGCTTTGAGTTTTAATTGCAGTGCAGCGTCATTTTTGCTAGTGGCGGTTCTATTCCAGGGCTGCCAGTGTCTTACTGTGGGCTAGGCTATCCAAATTACAGCACAGGGGTCACATGCGGTCAGTGACGGGCGGACCTGTAACACGTCTTTAAGGGAGCCACTCATTTCGAGTGGGGTGAACATCTTCCTGTGCACTGGTGAGGAGAAATTCCTGTCGCGGATGGGTGTTTTTGTCTGTGGATCCACAAACAAATAGAAAAGGTGTTACTGGTACAGTATCTTGGTCTAGCTGTTCCAGATCATGCAACATGCTCACATAAGATTGGTTGAATAATGTGAAAGTGTCTTACAAAAACAAGTGGAAACGATGAGGCAGTACAGTACATTTATAACTGAGAACAGGAGGCACTTCTTTCAGTACGAAGTATGAAACAAGAACAGCTGGACGGGAGTTTTGGGTCAATTACCTACCAAGTACCAAACAGGTAGATAGGCCAAACGACCTTCCCTCATTTGTAAACATTCTTACGTTCTTACATTTTAAAAAATATTTTATGAACCATTTTTAATACCATTCAATAAAGTATGTAGATACAACTCAATATTGAAAAAGTTGCAGGCTGTAATACATATTTGACACTTACTACTAACAACCGAGGAGTTTTGATGTCACTGTTGGCTTTCTAAACTCAAAAGCTTCTGAATACTGACTATTGGAGTACTGATATTTTTGTTACAGTGCTGTGGTTTACAAAAACATTTTTTTACAATGCAAAATGTCTAGTAACACGAAACAGAAAACAAAAAAAACCCAGGAGATTCGCAGTCCTGGTCCTGAAGGACTGTTTCACCTGCAGGTTTTCTAGGTCTCTTTAAAACAGCAGCGCCTGGAGAGCTGGGAGAAGCCGTTCAATTCCAGTTAAGCCAATAACGAGCTGATTCAGGTTGTTAAGAGCCCAGCTGGCCCAGGAGCAGGACTGGGAATCTTCAAGAACATGATTTCCTATTTTTTACAGGGGCACAGGAGCCCATAGGTTTGAGTTGTCAAAATCAAGAAAACATTAAAAATAAAATAAAATCATTGCAAGAAGGAAATATAGCACTGAGGTATCACATGTCAACTCAGTTTTGACAATGTTTCTGCGTCTTTTATTTGTTTTAGTTAATTGCAAGATTGACTCTCACAAAGCCTGTATTATACATACACATGGAATATCAAACTATATTACTGAATCGGAGAACAGCCAAATCATCAGAGAATGGACATGGAAGAGAAATTTCCTCTTAGCCTGTCTTAAGCACGTCTTTGTGAAGTAGGAGGCTGAATGCTGCCGTCCGCTCAGAGCAGCTATTCAGAAACGAACAATAACCCTGTGGTCATGACGGATCCTTTCAAAACCGCACGACAAAGAGCTCTGACCTCACTGCACTTGGCACTGCTATGAACCTGCACAATACATTGTCGAGCACAGCAAAGCCTGGAGATATATATACACAGATGAATGAAGAAATTACTTTTAAAGATCACCAAAGGATAGGAGGGTTCAGTGTGTGTCTTACTTTGGTAGGGCTGAACAAAATTGCTTTTCACTTGAATATGCCCTTGTTCTTAATACGCCTGGTGAGCAGATTTCTGAACTTAAAAACAGCCCTCAGAAACGAGTTCTCTGAGCAGTCAATTAATTACTGGTTTGTTGTGGTCTTAATTTCTAATTTGTCATGGAATGTTACATATCCTGCCTGCCTATTGGAAGAAGAGTCAGAGTGACCAGTAATCACAGTAAATACCGGCAATAGTTTTAAAATATCTAAAAAGTTTTTGGAGGGCACTGGGACTTAATATGAAACACTTTTAATTAAAACACCTGAAAACATGCCTGGCTGCGCACAGTGGGTACTCTTTGTTCATGAGTGTGTGGGGAGACCCTCTTTCCTTTCATAGTTCACCACCTGTGGAACCCAACACTCAAGGTCAAGCCACACAATAGAAATGCCCCTGGGGGCAACTCGGACTCCCAGGCTTTACAACATGGGAACAGCAGGTGTCCTAGGCTGTACGGGCTCTGAATGGACGTCCATGTCAGCTGTTGTTGATTTTTCGTTTGACGTTGGGTTGTAGTACAGTACATGATTGCTGGACCCCATACCATCAGGATCAGACCTTCAGAATTTCTGCAGCACAGCACCTCAAAAAAACCCACACACAGGATGGACTTAGCTGCCTTCCTGGCTCTTAAAATTCACCTAATGTTGTTAAGATGCCGCTTATGTTGAATGTTTTTCATGTGTTGCTCTACTTGACTGCAGCCTATCCTTCTATTCACCCCACACGGTGAATTTCCCCAAGAGCCCTGCAGGAGGGAGTCTGCGACGTCACGCAGGCAGGCTTCTCCCAGCCCTTCCTTATGGGGGAGAACACACGTGGGTACAACCCACAAGTGCAGAACTAGTGGAGAGGCTTCCTCAAAGGGGAACTGCAATGCTATTTGTATATTTCGGGGTTAGAAAGAATCATCATTGATGAGTGCATTTCAAACCACAAGGATAGTAAAATGTGCACTGTAACTTGCAAAACCCCCAATTTGCACCACAAAATAGACCGAAACTCCAGTGATGTGTTGCAGCCCATGACATTGAAAACAAGCAGGCTTATGAATGCATCTCTTCTAATCCAACAGAAATATTGCTCTTGATTACAAGACAGTTTTGCCGGTTAATGGAACTTAGTTGTAAACTTTGCGTTCAGATCACGCTGGAACATTTCTGTTGTGAAATGTCTGCTGCACAACCTGTACTTATTCGCTTGTACACCACATCACATTAGTCATTACAGTGACTAGTGAGCAGGAAGGGCCACTTCTTGTCACAATCGACTCAAACTCTCACTCTCACCCTTGGTGAGACCAGGGTTTTGCAACACCATGGCAACTTACATTACATCACAAATTCATGGTTTTGTGCTTAATTCAAAATGTGTAATTTTTAAACTATACCATAAATGAATTAATTTTGTTACTGAGGTTTAACTGGGACTGCAGCCCCTCTTGAACTGACTTTACAAGACAATTTACGGTGTTTTGGGAGAATCTCACTATGTATGTATAAATAATTCTTCAGCAAACTAACCTTCAATTCAGCTGCATAGCATGGAAGATATCTCGGTGAGAGGCAACCTTGCCAGTGCTGTCTGGGGAGAAACAGTGGGAGCCTGTGTGCAGCACATCCCTCTATACAGAGGCAGCTGTGAAGACAGGGCCAGTTTTGTCTTAGTGCTGATTGATAAGCCCGTTCAGCTGAGGCTCCAGCAGCAGCGTTTGTCTCGTCTAAATGAGAAGGGCTTTCGTAAGCTTTGTGTAGTCTAGGAAGGTGTTTAATTACACTTTCGTGTTCTTCACTGCCACAGAGGCAGAGCTGAGCTGAGTCAAAGACCAGACCTATTGTAGTTTTCCATTCTAAATACAGAATCAAGCAAACCTATAAAGTACAACTGGCGTGCCCTGTAATGTCCTGTTTGAGCTTCCTAGAAAATAAGCTATATTCTTAAAGAACCTAGAAAGAGTGAAAAACGCCACATTGAAACAATTGCTAGTGAATGTGAAGAGTTCATTTTAACCTGACATATTCTTTTGACTTTTCCATGTGATCTGTAGTTTAATGTCTTCAATATGTTGGTCCTCTCACAGCTTGACTCACTTTCAGGAGCATTGTAATAGTGTGAATGCTACAGTCATATAAGGTTTAAGACATGAGACTATAAAAGAGTTCATCTTCTCATTCTCTTTTTTTAATGAAACTTATCCATCAACAATGTACAAATACCATTGGTTGGTAAAAAACAAGCTGTAGGCTATGTATCATAACATTCTTACCAATCTAAAATCTCTCTGTATTTACAGCTCTCTATACTTCTACTTTACATTCACAGATTTATTTTGTACAACTATGTAGATAGATTACAAAATACATTTTCAATAGAAAGAAATAAAAATACTATATACATGTGGTGCTTTGTGGAATGCTGTTTAAATACAAGGAAAGTATATATATATACTGTATATATAAAACAATCTCTTCTTTTAATTATCACACCTAATTATAGCTTGGATTATACAATTAAACATAACATAGAAATCACTTATACTCTAATATAGACACTTAGAGAAAAGTACTCTTAGACCTTTACAATTAAATGACATCAAATTTAAGAAATATAAAATATTTGATAACAGAGTGATTAGAGTAACAGCCTTGTATACAATCATTCACCTACTACACTGTGTAACTCAAATCACATAATACTGGACAAGGTGCTTTGTAACATCATCGGCAATTATGGCCTTATACTGCTTGTTTTCATTTACCTAAAGAAACACAAGAACAGTGTTTACTTTTTCTCCAGTGCCTGAAGGTACCATTAATTGATGGTGTTAAGTGTTATTCACCCCATGCTTTACTGAAGGAGCAGAGAATGTGTATTGAAATGTACATCATTTCATGTACATCAGCAGAAAATCTTGTAAGGGAATGGATTGGTTCTCATGGTCTGATGATGGGTGCCTTGTCTGAAGTCGTCTCCATTTCCTGAAAGTCCAGCATTTCGGACACATCCGGAATAATCTGCACAGCATTCTCCTGGAAATGCACCTGCTTCCCCTTTCCTCTCCCCGGTTTCCCATCCAAGACTGCGTGATCGAGCTGTGCCTGACTCTTGGCTCCCGGGCCCTGCTTGTGGAAGAGTCTCTGCAGGTGCGCCCAGGCTGTGGTCCTGCTGCTGGACACAGCCCTGTGGAAGGAGTAGGTTTGCTCGGTGTTTCCTGCTGCCGTGACACTCACTGTTGTCCCAGATGGGTCCGAATAGAGTTCAGACAGGGAGGGAGGCACTTGGGGCAGGTTTGCTTTTTTCCTCTTACTCAGAAAGAAGTTGGCTACACCAGTGATGAGAAGCATGACTCCTGGTCAGAATTAAAAAAACAAACAAAAACAAATTAGCAATTGAAACCAAAATGCAGTTCTGTACCTGAAATGCTTCATTCGAGTCGTGGCATTTGGAGGACACTTATAGCTTTGTTATTCTTTCCATCCCTGGAGACGTTTCTGTCTCTCCTTGGGCAGAATTCCTGTTCTCAAGGGCGAGTCTGTATTGCCTCCGCACGGCACTGACAGTGGAAAAATCCAGAACACTGATAGGGAGCTGCAGGAGACCCATGGCTGACTCTACCTGGAATAACAGCGTGCCACACCAGGACCGGGTGAAGAAAACACACCACCGACATCAGTGTGTAGTACAGAAATTTCTGGAAGCCTCCGAGCCTGGCTGCTTTCTTCCACAGGACGAATGCTCTCGATCCTGACGGACACCTAGATCAGAGACAATACCTAATTATTACAAGGGTGGTAATTCCTTGTGTTAATGAGCCTCCCGAAGGATCCCAAAGCGCTGCATTTTTAGGAAGGAACCCACAGCGTCAACCGATGACTAGCATCACCCACGGGGTGACAGCAGCCGCTCTGCAGCAGCTCTTCAGCTCATCTGGTCAAACGGTTTCACAGCCGAAAACGCTGTGTCTCTTTTCTTTTCCTTCCAGCATGGAATAGACCATCACCTGTATATTACCACACCAATGGATGGGAGACTCCTGGGAGTGACGGGGACACTATACTGTACTGTCATTACTGTCACACTATACTGTCATTAAAAATCCCAGGGTATTTCTTGAAAGGAGCAGAGGTGTTACCCTGGTGTCCTGGCCAAATCTCCCATTGGCCCTTACCAATCATGGCCTCCTAATAATCCCCCTCTCTGAATTGGCTTCATTACTCTGTTCTCCTCCCCGCCAATAGCTGGTGTGTGGGGAGCGTACTGGTGCACTATGGCTGCCGTCACATCATCCATATGGGGTTGTACACTGGTGGTGGTGGAGGGGATCCCCATTACCTGTAAAGTGCTTTGAGTGGAGGGTGCAGAAAAGCGGCAATATAAGTTTAACTAATTATTATTATGATTAATGCTGTTCTTCTTTAATAAACGCAGAGGAAGATAAAGCAAGTCAAAGACTGTGAAAGAGCGCCCTCTTGTGTTAATAAATAGTACTTACATGTCCATGGAATAGCCCGTACTTTTATTCCGCCATGTGTTCTGTATAATTCTCAGTCTTTGAAGGTCCTGATTCCTAGATTTATTAAGTGAGTCTGTGTAAGTCCATGTGTGGGTGTGTGTGTGTGTGTGTGTGTGTGTGTGTGTGTGTGTGTGTGTGTGAATGTGAGTAAGTGTCCTGAATCACGTGGAAGTTTTTCAGAACTAGGCAGCAGACTATGACACATCCATGGAATCAAAGTTTTATTTCTTCCCAAATGTTGTTAGAGCTCCATAAAGGGGCTACTTACAATGATTTGCCCCATTAATCCAGTGATAGTCTATTAGTCATCATCTTATCTGGTTCTGTCTGTGTAAACAGCACTAATCTGGCCTGTGGCTAATGACTCATAGTAGTTCACAATTTATCCAGAAGATCTCCATACCTTCAAAGCATGGTAAATTGACTGCTTTTGTGTACATAACGTCCCTTGAAAATAATTCAATCTTAATTTATTTGTTGAAACAGAACCTAGAAATCTTAGTGCCCCGATGGTTTGAAAGTTAAAATCAAATGTTCCAGAGGTCTCTGAAAGCATGGCTTAGCTCGTCAATGTCAGGTTGTAGAGCGAAAAGAGTCAGTTTACTCTTCTTGTATTTTCCAGGCATCTCAAATGTAATACAGGTACCTTGCAGCCCAGATGTTCACCTGCCAGGAATGGATTACTAGTTTAACCCTTCTAAACACTCATTATTCAGACTTATTAACTTGTTAGCTAATCATTACCGCAGGAATTCTTTATTCTAAACCCGGGAGCACACTTACGGAAGGCAGGGCCCCAGCAACTTGTCAGCAAAATAGGACACCTCAAAGATGGCAACCCCTCCTGATGAAACACTTCCATTGGACATTTCCAGGGTGTTTGAGAAGAACGCCAAAGTGATTTATATGCATAGAAAAACAAGCAGAAAGTCAATGGTACATGTAAACATTTCAGAAACAGTAGGTCAGGAAATAAGATTACCAAACAGTCCGCCAAGAATAATTAATAGATGCAGAGGCCTGTAGCCGGAGGTCAAGTGGCAGATTTTCATCTTATTCACATGCCCCACCGTCAGAAGCCCAGTTCCTTCTCCAATTTTTCTGTCTGTGAAAGCTTTCTGAGAGCACGTCTGTGAGCCATGTACGGCTCTTTCCCCACAGATTCTGAGGGGGCTCATAGTTTCAAATCTGAAGGTCACTACTTTTCTCTACCAGCACACATCCTTTACTGTAAAGCCCGGCAGTCTCAATTTATGCACTTAAATGGAATAATCTCTCTCATGAGGACCTCCATAATTTTTTTTTGATCACGTCCAAAGAGTCTTTTTCCATTCCAGTGCTGGAAATCTATTTACAGTATTCCCATCTTGATATAGAGTATGAATCTCCGTTCCTGAATGGGTGCCAGAGAACTGCAGCACTGCTGGAAAGTGCCCTTAACGACACGTTCAGCGAAATCCCACTCGTCAGTTTACCTGTGAAGGTGGAGATTGCGGTGCATCTGGGAGGCAGGTGCAGTGAAATCTACTGTAGCCCTGTTCAGCGCTGGTGAGAAAAAACAACAGCTGCTCTGTGTTGTGAGAGTGTGCCTCGCTAGTGTCTGTGTACACCCCATAACCCTGGGGGTCTGGGAACATACTCAGACATGAGGCAGCCCAGCACAGATTGCTGGTGGTTAAACATTTCGCATGTCAGCTCTGGGCTCAGGCGGATTTGTAGTCGACAAGTTCCATCTACCAGCATCTTTGCTGCTCCACTGGGTGAGTCTATGGATCTGATTCGCTGACAGGAATGGACAGTTCCAGGTGTTTGAATTGGTGTCTCCCCATGAGAGATAAGAGTGCAACAGCTCAGTTTCGAAAGAAATACCCGATAAAAGGCCAGGGCACATGTCAACATCAGCAACTGCATACAGTAAATACTTACAGGAGATAGACTGCAAGGCTTTCAAATTCTCCCCGAAGGAGAGTCTCAATCCCCACGCCCAACAGCACTGTGTTCAGACAAGAGAAAATGTGTTGATGAGAGAGAGTACACTTCAACCTATCATGGTTTTTATCAAAGAATAGTGACAGGTGTAATATGGTGCATGTTCCCTGTGGTAAGGGCACACTCAGTGGTGTAAAGGGCTCAAACAACACGACTAAGAGCCTCCAGAGTGAAGTTTCTGCTTCCAGCAGTGTTAATGAAGGTGCTGGCACAAGAGCTCAGGAGGTTTTTTATTAGCACAAGCGACGTGCTCCTGTGGAATCAGCTGCATGACAATCTGATGCCTGCACAGAAAACAGGTGTCCCAGATAAAGATCACATCACAAAATAAAGATCAACTGTAGATGTCAATCCACATAGGTAGGCCCCTTTTCAGACCATAAAGGCCTATGAGGAATGGGAGGGGCAAGGGCCACCATATTTTCTTGACCATACTGAACACTAGAGGTGATGTGGTCAGCATCACACTCCAGCCAGCCTGTTACCCCCAGAAGGATTAACCCCCAGTACTCATTTGGAAAGCAGGCTGAGTGGATTTGGGAGCCATCTGGATACATTGCTTGTCCCTACCTGGCATTGAACCCAGGACCTCCTGGTGAGGAGCTAGACACCCTTGCTGTCTGAGCTACAGTACCACAACTCCTATACATCCCCATAAACAGAGCTAAAGCTGTGCTGAAACTAAATTGAAATCAATTTATACAAGGATACATATCAGGAGCATTTATGTCTTAAGTTGCATAAGTTTCAAATCACATTCAAGAAAACAAAAATTGACTGAAGGCACCCCGTAGACTAAAAAAGAATGTTGTTACTGGAACAAGTGTCCTCTGAACTGTAAAATCTGTGTCAAAATGAGCTTCTCCTTTTTTTTTTTAACAGGACAAGGTTCTTAGACTTAGTTGTAGTCCACCAGGTGAGTGACAACTGTGCAGCACTAGAGGGGTGGAGACACTGCATCAAGCAAGCTCTTCCACTAGAGGGCATAGTTTCTATAATAATTGGGCATGTGGGCTTGTGATTTAATTACATCACTTGTTCTGTGAAATTGATGTTATATTTCTTTTTACAGTATCCACCAAAGTAAGTCCATTAGTTTCTAGACAGACACCCTTCTGTTGATTCTTTATATCATTGTTCAAAATAAAATGGTAACTTTATATATTAAGATATATAAATGTTATATAACTTTATTAGCAAGTACTGTAAAATATTAATTAAAAAAAACAAATATCAGTATGGTGTAGAAATAACATTTGAGATATGTAAAATGAAAATATATATATAGTTTTGTTACACTAGCTGAGTGAATGTGAAAGGAGCCATATTTACAAAAGGCTTCAATTTCGAGAGAGTGGTTATTGTATACATTTAATGTTAAGAATTAAGTAGTAAGAAATGCAAAATCTAATGTTCTTAATGTCTTCCAGACCACAAAGAACAGCACACATGTGCAACTCATTTAGGAGGTTTATTTATACAAGGTGTGGAAAAGCAATTTGTAACAGAATGGGTTAAGAAGGTTTATTATTTGTATTAATTTATACAAATTAAACCCTTTCCAGTGTAAATAAACTGATTTTTGGAGCGTGCTAACTTCACCTTAATGCAAAGAGAGGGTTTTCAAGCAGGAATGAGCCTGCGTCTTATTGAGGGGTTTGTAATGAGTGTTAATACTGACAGGATCTGTTTGTTTTTCTGTGGTTCAATAAAGGGTTAGGACACTTATTCTCACAACGTGTCAATTGCTGGACAAACCATTCTAACTTGTAATCCTCCACCACTTGGGACACTAGTTACAGTATACTGAGTAAAGTCATATTCTTGCTACAGAGTTCAATTGGTTTCGAAGTCGTAGTATTCTTTTATCTCCCAGCCTATTCTACATGAAGGTAACTGAAAACAAAAAAGCATGTAAATGAATAAGTAAGAAAGCCGTTGCTACCTGTATTCACCAAAGAACAGGCCTACAGACTGAAACTGAACTGGGTGGGCTTGTCTACACCATAGGCTGGCTGTGTCGAGCTCTTCCAGCTGTGGATTTCTCCACAGCTGTAGGATGTTTCCTCGGTGTCTCTGCCCACCAGATCGAAATTCAAATTGTTTATTGTTTATGCTTTCACATCGCAGATCTGCCCAGAAATGAGACACCTGCCAGGCAGCCAGGTATCATTGTTAATACAGGTAATCCAAGAAATGTATTCTCTCGCCATCCCTGAGCCAAGACAGGGGGGTACTAATGCTCTTTCCTTCCCTGGGAAAACCAATGTCTGAGCAGACGCGAGATACATTCAGCACTGACATCAGGGTACTTATTGAAGTACGGCGAAACCCAGGTCTGATTATGATTTTCATTCCTTTCTAGGATTTAAAGCAAAATCAGTGCCATGGACTCAGTTACAAAGTATAGCAATAAACCAAGGAAAGAACGCTTTGGGCGACACGACAGTATAAGCTTCCCTGTGCCCCCCCCCAAAAAAATAAAACACTTTTGCTTCAGCGCATAATTCCGACCTTGTAAAATACAATTAAATCTTTACTTCATATTGACATATATAGGAAGAATGACACCAGAAACGTTTTCAAACATTTCCATTTCCTTCATATTTGTACACATTCGTACAGTTTAACTGGCTCTAGTTCTACGGAGTTAAGGAAGTGAAACTAAATTTGTGGAGCTGCTCAAACCTGCTGCGGTTGAAATGCCGAGGATCCTGCAGAGGCACTCCAGTGCAGTCCAGAGAGAGGAAGCCTCCATTGTTGCAGGAAGAAGACACCTTTTCCCACTTCTGACAAATCCTCAGGTTGTATCATAACCTTCCCATTGTGGAAACAAAAAAAAAGAACTAAAACTTTCACAAACGATTTTTCTCTCTCGACCTGTGCTGGAAGGAGTCCTGTGTTGTTTCTCCTGGTAGTTTTGCACCTGTGGCTTTGACCTGCATCATGAAGTGAACGGTCAGTGCTGACCAAACTCAGCCAGAATATTCCGCACCCACAGGCCCTCGAGGTGATGATGAAACTGAAAGCCAGTCTCTGGATGCCCTTGCTGTTAAAAAGGGTTAATCATTAGTGGTAAAAAATGAACCAACTAATGTACAACAACTGAAATGACCTTGGCGAGGAGATCAAAGCCATAAAAGTATCTTAAGCTCTGCTGAATAGCCGGCTCTATGATTTCAAAGGATTAACCAGTTATTGCTGAGAATTTCATTGAGTAGGATCACAGTGAACGAATTCTTTAGAAAAAATCCTGCTAAGAATTTGAAAAATAATGAATATTCCTTTATCACACACACACCAGTCATTCAGCTTCTGCAGCTTTAAACTAGTTGAAACAATTTAAGAATTTAAACTGATATGAAAATAAATTTCATCGTTTTCAGATTATCTCTACCTAGATGTTTAGCAGTTGTTAGCAGAGGACTTCTTGGTATGAAAGAAAGCCGTGCCCTGACAAATGACAGATGTTCACAATGAGAAAGACCCACCAAGGTTCCACTGTACAAGTTAATTTGTAGCAGTGCCAAAGGTTGCACTGATTGGTTCATTTAAAGTCAAAAGTTATTATTATAGAGGTAAACCATACAAGTCAACAAGCTGTTTATGGGCTTCAAATTACAGGGAAAAGATCATTTGTTGCATTCATAAAGTGCTTTTCTTCCCAAAGGATCGGAAAATACTTTATGCAGAGGACAGGACCCACTTGGTTCACTGGTTAATTAAGGGGCAGCTTTGGGGAGGTCAAATTCACCACAGCTAGAGTGAAATTAGGCCCAGACACAGAGGTTAATGTTCCTGCTCCTCTGGGGTCTTTCAAGACCAAATACTCAGGACGTCATCTTGACATGTCATCTGAAGGACCGCAGCACCACAGTGCCTCGTGTCTCCACATTGAGACACATTGTTTGGAAATTCTGGTCCTGAGAACGCCACCTGCTGGTCCACCCGAGCACTCACAAAAGCCAATTTTCTTTTTGGATTTTCTTCAGAGGACTCACTAGGCCCAGCCCTGCGTTGTTGCTGAGATTTGTTGCTGTTAATAACTTCAGTCCAAAATTGTCCCTCTCTCTTCAGATGTCCCCTAAGGCTTTATACTAGGACCTATTCTGTTTTTAATCTCTTTACTCCCGTTAGACAGTTTTGTTAGCAAAAAGAATGCCATTCTGCTTTATGTCTCTATCTTGTGTGATTCTCTGTGTGACGTCTTGATTCTGTCAAACTCTGTGAGCGAAATTGAGGCCTGATTGACCTCACATCCTCTCCATTTAAATATGACAAAAACTGAGGTGACGTGCATGATTTCCAGGGAAGATACATCTCATTTTTTAAATTCCCCACAACTTGGATACAGTAGCCTCACATTTCACCCTGCTAATAAGACATTTGTGGGTCTTGGTTGATCCTGAGCTCTGATTTGATGCACATATAGAAGCCATCTGCAAAGTCTCTTGCTTTCATCTGAGAAACATTGCTACCATGTGGTCTTTTCCTGATTACACTGCTGCAGAAATTGATTCATGAGTTCATCAAACTCAGCTGGATTACTGCAATAGCCTTCACAGTGCACTCCCTACACACTCCCTAAAGAAGCTTCAGATGGTCCAAAACGCTGCTGCTTAATTTCTAACTTCTTCGTGGTTCTGTAATTATATCATCCCAATTCTGACATGTCTTCACTGGCTTCAGTTCCAAATTTCACTTTTAACTTTCAAAGCCATACACACCAAATTCATGTAATTTTTCGCATCTACATCTGTCATTACTCCCTATGTATCAAGCAGGGCTTAATTCTCTGCTGAGGCAAATCTTTTAGTAGCTCCATCTGATAGGCACTAGTGTCTCGGGGCAAGTTCTTTCAACCACCTTGCTCCACAGCTCTGGAACTCACAACCCTGCCACTCTGACAAATTCGAACCTTTACAGCTTTTAAAATCTAGACCAAAGAATTATCAGTTTAATCAGGATTTTAATAGGTGTTTGCCTCAACAATTTCTACCTCTTTATTTTTTCATTTTGTTCTATGTTGGGTTTTTTTTTGGACCACATAAAGTGCCCCAAACCTTGTTGGTGTACATGAACACTGAAAAACATCCTTGTAATCTTTGTGGAGATAGAGTGAGAACACTCATTGCATTATGGTTTATAAAACACTGGTTGTGGTATGGTCATGCTAAAACTGTTCGTGAAATATACTGAATAAAATACTTTATTTCATACATTGTTTTTTAAAGAATGCATCTCAAACTTCCAACTCTCTTGATAGATATTTTGAAGCTGATGCCCCTGCTTCTTTAATTAATTAGCTGGATCAATTAATTGGCTGCTAACTATTAAATGAGCTAGATGGGCAAAATAACCTCCTCTTGTATGTAGCTTTTCCTGTATTCTCATATAGATACATGTGTAGAACAGTACAGAGAATGTTCTACAGGTATTTTTCTACAAAGCAACATCCATTTTCAGATTGTGAAAAACAGGAAACCAGTATGAAGAAAAACAAATAGTACATATTTTTGTGATTCTTGTTAAGATTAGGGTATCATACATCTTAACTTTTGCAAAGTGGCAAAACACAACAATGTTTTTTTTTCAGAGCAGTGTGGACAGAAGCTGAAAGACAGACTCCCAGTGACTCACTGTTGACTGTTTGTTATATAAATAGACTCTGAGTGTGAAACAACATGAGTCTCCTCTTCACTGAAGTCACTGAGCCAGGCTTAGTTCATGCTGAACAGCAGAGGCTGTTATATTCCTAATGTAGCACAACTCAGGAAGTACAGTGTTTTACATTATTAGGCTCCAAATCAGGTACGCACTTTCATCTGTTACACCTCCTCTTGGAAAGTTATTAAGTCAACTACTGTATTAAATTTCAGTTAACATAACACTTGTCAAAATAAATCTGTATATACAGTATGTATCACAGAAGGTTATCATATGGGAAATTTGCAGCTCACAACGGAAATACATGACTTGTGAAAGCAAATCCAGAAGAAAGCTACTGCAGTTCGTATCTGGAAATGTTGAGCATGAAAGAAAGAGCATTTGATATCACTAAAGGGAAGTACTTTTTTTTTCTAAAGCATTTGAGTGTCAAGCAAATGATATTAAAGAAGCGATAAAGTAGAGCTCATTGAATGCAGTCCTGGCAGCACTATTTTTCAGTGTTCGTCAGCAGGTTGACTCTTGCTCGGAAGTAACCGATCCAAGAGTCAGTCAATTCCACTGACCTCCGGATGAAAGGTCCTGTAGTCTGTGGTATGTATGTGTGCACTAAGTGGAGTGAGTTCTGTGAGCAAACTTTCAGAATCGTTCAGGAGACCGTGCGGGGGACATTATTCAGGTACGCGTGTGCGGGATGCTAAGAAAAAGGGGCACTGGAAAGGAGACTGAGCTGCGTGTGCTGGTGCTCCATTTTTATGGGTTTCCTGTTGGAACTGGTTCCTGTCAATTTAGCAGCTGTGCCTGCATGGCTGGTAATTTGACCCATGCGCAGAAAAGTCTTTTACGGCTTTTCACATAAAAGCTGAGCTATTTTCTGAGCTGGACTAACCAGCTCCCAGAATTCTCGATTTCAACACAGACGTGATCAGTAGAATAGCTCTAACCCTAACAGTAACCATTATACAGTACAAGTCTGGAATTTTTTTCTCTGATCTTCTTCACAGATCCTAAACTAGTGCTACAGTAGCTTCAGTGTAAGCCAAACCCAAGCCCTCACACAGGACAGTAATCCTCCCCTTGCCACTACTGTAAAGACCATCCAGCCACAATTGTCATCTCCAGGTTAGGCACTTACAGTAGTTAAGGTCAGTCACTTAACTAGACTTCTGTCCTAACTCTAATCCTACACAGTCCAACATGAACCTGAACCTGACAGCAATGCATACCACAAAATGTAGCATCTAGCTAGGAACGCTTAGATGTGATAAAGTATTTAGCATGCAGCTAGGAACGCTTACATGTAATAAAGAATTTACTTCAATTTGACTCACATCTGTGAGTAATTTGGATCAGTGATCTGGGGGTCTTGCAAGTGTAACCCTAGCCCTTTGCTGCTCAGTTAAGGTTTTTTGAAAATATTTCTGATAAAAATGTGTGCACACACTGCAGAACCCCGGAAAGCTGCGTTTCTGATCAGCTCCAGTACCAGGGCGACATTTCCACAACAGAGGATCCAAACAGATCTGGACACAGATGGACTGGCTGACAGACAAATGACTTCTAAGCCACAAAACAGCCAGAACAGAGATTGTACAGAAATGTCTTGTTGTTAGTGGTCTGGGCAACTGGTCACTGCCAGCCTTTTTCCTCAATTTTTTTCCATTTGAATCCTTTTTTGTATCAGAGATATGCAAGGCACCCAGCATGTTGGAAAGCCTCCGGCAGGACAGAAATCAAAAGTCAAATGTGGGCCAAACCAGAGTGTAACCTGGGGGCCGTGACCCCTGTGTGAAAATAAACTGTACAACTTGGCTAGCAAGGGTGAAACCTGCTCCTTGTGTAATCACCTGTAAATGATCTGAGCTTGGCCAACAGCACCTCCGAGCTCCAGTACAATGTGAACCATTGTTGGCTGCATTGAACTGACGGTGCGATTAATTACTGTCGGGACAGTGGTGAAACTGGGCAGACGCACAGGAGGCGGTGAAACGCAAGTCCAACGTGTAGAGGGGCAGGACCTGCGGGGCTCCCGATCCGTGACCTCTCCCGAAACGTGCAGCACATTTCGGTATCTCTCTGTGTCTCGAAGGTGCGCCCGGCCGGCTCTTCCTGGTGCCTGTTTCAGCCGGGCGTAGCGCTTACTGTTTGGCAGCGGATCCTTTAATCCTGCCTCACTGCTCCTAGAGCTCCTCTAAACACAGCATGTAGTAGTAATCTCCTGCCTCTAATACTAACAAATATTCAGCCTTAATATAAAGCTGTGGATTCCACCTGAAAATGGTCATTTATGTATTGAATTCACATACATTGAATGCATTCCTGCTGTATGCTATATTAATAGCTTAAGAGTATTATCTATATGTTCTGTGT